TTCAGACGTGTGCTCTTCCGATCTAGCATATATAGTTGGTGCCATTACGCATATGGTCATAGTAATACACCAACAATGATATAATCTCATACAGAACATTTTTAATCTTGTCGCATTTCTTGGCAACGGCCAACACCAACTTGGAAACATACTTAACTTCACAACGGATATTACTTTCTTTAACATAACTTTTCTACACATGATCGCACTATATCACATATGTTACATACGTATTGCAAATTATATTATGAAAAATGGAAACTCTTTAACTAATCGTTATACATATATAATTTACTGAACATTCGAGTGATTTACAACATTATTACGTATATAACAAGGGGAATTAACACGAATGTATTAATTTTTTACGTATTGCGTATTTTTTTATTATTATTATTAATTAGATATTAATAAATTTTTATTATAATTTTAACTAAAAGAATAATGTCAATAATTGATAAGCTTAAAGTATTTCTTTTTTTTAATTGTGTCGGAAACTTTTTAATATATTTTAAATTTTTAACCTATGTTTCTTTTATTCAGTTTCTATTATTCAGTTATTCTGTTAAAATAATTGGTTTGTAGTATAGTTGAAAGTAAGATCTTGCGATGACAGATCTATTATTCCATGTTGCTTTACACATAATTTCTTACTAAGTAAATGAAGGGTGAACAGAATTGCAAGTCGCTATTTACTGTCATAAAGAGGGAAAACATATATGTCATTGTTATTGTATGAATTAAGTGCAACAGAGACTAACGCAGAATTAAAAATTCAATCAATCTTATAATATCGAAAATATTGAACTCTTGAAAACGTATTCTTATTAAATATAAAAAAATTTGTGATTACAAAGTTATTAATTTTTTTATACGATAAAATTTTAAATACAATCTAACACAAAGAAGATAATTACTAGTGATTATTTTAGTAAAATATTGTGTACAAATAATTTAATACGAATATCATGCAATTTCTTTTTATGTCAAAGAAAATTGATGTGCAAATGATTAATTTTGCTTGTCGTATTTTATGTCGCATTCATTTACTGTTGAACATTTTTTGTTCTTCTTCAACTTCTAAATAAAATTAAATTTTGTGTCAAATTGTATATAGTATAATTATACAGTAAAAGTAAATTATATGTAACATATAACGATAATTGTAAAAATATGATTTTAATTTAATAACATTTATTATAATTTTATCTTTGCAAATTATGAGCAAAAAATTACACAAGTAAATGCACGTAACATATGTAGCGTATTAACAACAGTATCTGAGTACGATACTTCTTATTGCCGGCTTAATAATACTATTTGTATTGTAGACCGTATTAAATTTTGATGTTATTACAACGATGAAGATGATTACTCATGTTAATAATGAAACGATGTTGCTCTAACGAGCATAAAAAGGGGATCGCGCATTTGAATAATAACTTTATTAATCAATAAAGTTATTTGATTTTCTTCATGAGATATTGGCATTAATTCTGTCGTTATCCTAATAATCCGTAATATCACTTTTAGAAATAGAATTAATTTAATTAATTAGTGAAAAAGTAACTAATTATACATTATTATATAAAACTGTAGTGACTTTTGAATTTATTGTATTATCTATGCTATGTGATTTGATTATAATTGGCATAATACTGAAACAAATATATTGACTTTTAAATATTTAATATAATTGCTAGCATATTTTTTTATTTTATCGATAATATTCTTGCTCACTCCATCTCAGACATTTTGCACGGCTACTCGTAGCGTCGTAAAATAGGAAAATATAGTCGATAAATACTGGAACATTCGTAATAACTATATGTATTGAAATATTTCAGTTAAATTATTCTGAATTGTATATATGTAATTTGTGCTTATATATGTTACATTTTTAATTAGAAAAACAATAATTGTTGTACATTTGATTTTATGGTATAATCTGTGTTTAGCCAACTTATCTCTACAAAAGTATTTGAACAATATTATTTTTTTCTATGTATTTGCTTATATATAATGATGTGTTTCTATGCATTACGATTGTATATAATGATCGTGTATAGGTGATTACTGTATGTACGTTCAATGTTACAATATTACTCAAACTTGCTTACCGATGCATAGTATTTTAAAGATAATACGGGGATAACGCACGGTACTGAAATAATTATTGGTTTTTGAGCCCTTAACATAACTATCTGTACAATCTTCCGCAGATCAAGTGATTGTTGGTACCATTCCGTATCAAAAACTGCCTGTCCGATCTCATCGCTCTGTTAAAAACAATATTGGATAATAATGTTAATTTGTTTCAATTGATTAATTAAACAAAATATAGCAGATTTTTTGCGATAATTAACTTACTATATGAATCAAATGTTCTGCTGGCCACGTAAACATAAATACCACTGATAATCCACTAAAAATTATACCAACGCATTGAACTTTCATTGACAATGGTTGATCCTGTTTAAGATACGTTATGAATTATTTAACATGTTACAGAATTTTTGAAAATATAAAAGAGATGCTATTTTCTTTAAGCTGCTTTATTTTGTATATCATGTAAGTTGCATTTGTGTGGAATTTACTTTTATAACAAAAACAATTATTATTAGTTAAAGTTTGCTGTATCTTGCTGAGAACATTGATAAAATTTATAGATAATTTTTGTATTTAGGTATAAAATAAAATAAAAAAATATATATATATTTATATATTTATATATATAATTAGAAAAACACACACATATACATATATGATATACGCATATTATAGAATACATACATGTGCACACATATTGATATACTATGTGTATTATTTTAAAATTCTACAAATATGCTTTACTGTTTCGAAATGTCTTCTTTTTCTGAATTAATTAAAATGCTGTGAATTTTTTACATATTTTTAAATGCTTTAATTAAAAGATGAGGTATCTAGACATTAAACAATTTTACAAACGTTGCTAAAATGTAGCAGCAACTGACAATACTTACGGTTAATAAGATGAGGCCTATTATTATTAATGCGGTAGTACTAAGGCACACAGTCGATAATGCAAAAGGGCGAATTAAAATAATCACTTCTTCCGCGTATCTAAAATAAAAATATAAATGACAATGTTATTAATTGTTAAATTATTTTCTTTTGTGTATACATATATAACACAAATTTTTAGCTGTTATAGAAAACAATAATATAAAAGAATATTAAGAATAATATCTTACTTCAATAGATTTTGATGTTCTTGAATGCATTTCTTTAATTCATAAATGTTTGTGACCTTTTGAAATTTTTCGACTAATATTTCAAGCCTTGCCGACGTAAACCATATTAAGAGCGCCATAAAAATAGTCATACATTCCTGAGCAGCACCTTGCATACAAGCTATAATCTGCTGTATGAAGATGATAGATCTTAGAGGTTGATGATAAACATTAAACGGATACTCGGCGTTTGTTGGAAATGGTTGATCTAGCGTAACAGGTCCAGATATAATGAAGACAGCACTCATGTAAATCCAAAACATAGATCCACCATAGAAATAGACGCATTTATCGATGTATCGTTGAATGACTGCTTCTTCGTTAGGTTTGAGTAATTCACAGAAATTTTCCAATTCGAAAGTAACTAACTGGAATCGGTTATATGTACCTTAAATATATTCACGGAAAGGGAATGTACCTATACGATAGTTGTTTGCTTTTTACTCTTATATAACAACAAAATGTATTCATGTATTAATTACTTGCAGACGATAAGAATAAATTTTACAGCACACAATATTGCAAATAATTTGTATAGCGGGGCACAAAACGGTTATCGATTTTGCCATAACGACAGGATCGTCAAAATGGTTTCGCACCGCATTCATTAACCCTACGGCTACGCTAGAGGTCACGATTAAGCAAAAGTATTGATATACTGCTGCACAGATGACTTTTAATTTAATTGTATTTTTTGGGTGAGGCCAACACCAAGTTATGAATAAACTTAATTTTACAATGGCGATGATTTTCTTTAATGTCAACTTTGACCACATGATTAAAGGCACATATTGGCGTATTGCAATAGATTTATATTTTTTATTGCAATAGATATTAAAATATGTGTGACTAAACAGTGCAACAATTTGAAAAGCGGATTTATATAATAAAGAAAATTTTAGCACAAACGATTGTGCCTGTTCTCATTGCTTCTGATTCACGCCGAATATACTTTCGCAATGAAATTGTCATAAAATAAGCAATAAAGATGCATATGTGTAGCGTGAAAAGTAACACTTGTAGATTTATGTTCTACCAATATCTATTTCTAACATAAATTGCGAAAGCGGCATACAGTAGGATAATGTTAATTTACTATAATTTGAAATTTTCCTTCCCTGCGTTTTTCCTTGAAATTATTACTATGGCTTTTAGAAGAACGTTTTCTATCCATGCGTAGAATGTAGTGAATACAAAGAATGCGCCAGTAATCGAGGAATCGTTTTAGCAGCAGTTATTTTATAAATTATTCAACATATGCGCGATGAATTTCCTGACGCAACCTTAGTTCCACTGAAATGCTTTGAAAATAAAAGCCTCTTATTCTACAAGTACTACAATTGATGTGCTAGTGAGCAATGTATATAATATTTTTTACACTAATATACCGTTTAATTTTATTTTTATTTTTATATTCCTAGAAATTAGGAACTACAGTAAAGTTTAAATTTTATCTCTTTTTCTTTAATTACTTTTAATTTATTATTTATTAAACTTTTATTATATATTTATTATTTTATAATTGTGAACTCTATATGTGGAGATGTCATGTGAATGAGATAACTGAAATTAAGGACAAAATAGAAAAACTTTTAAACTGCAAATTTAAACAACAGAAAAAGATAATTGTAGCATTGCGCATATTATGAATAATAAAAAATTGTTATTGTAATTATAAAACTTTAAAGAATTTTAATTTATTTTTTCGTTATATTTAAAGTTTGTATTATATACATATACTACATAGCAAATATGTGAAATATGAAAATATAATTAGTAAATAGTGCATTATTAATAATTAAAATGGAAAGACATGTATAGGTTGTTCTTATAAAAAAACATACTATTATTGTTTTATGTAGCAATAATAATTTTATTTATTATTTTCTTGAATTAACATAGTTTGCTAAATCAAACTATCGTTATACGTCTCTCGTGCAAACCGATATACAGCTAATCAATATATGTGTGCAATCTTTCTATTTAAAATTCTATTATTGTTAAATTTTATTATTATTAAATAGCATTTTTTAATGCAAACATTAATAAAAATTTAGAACGATTATTTAAGCTGCATATAATAATTTCTTTTAAACTTTATCAATATTTAACAGTACGCGCAGTGTTGTAAAATAAGACAGTATAGTTGAACAGTACTGAAACATAATAAGAACAAACATAGTTAAATTCTTCTGTGTTATAAAAATGAATTTTTGGCCATTGAAGTGTACATGGCAATAATTAATGTAAATAATATAATAACAATTTTTAATCAATTCATTCAATTTGAAACTTTTATCTTACTGATATCAAGTAGTTAAAAGATATTGATGGCGTAATACAAGGTATTGAAAGCATTACCACTTTTTGACTTCTCGCTATAATAATATACAGAAGTTTTTGTATTTTAAGTGACTGATTGTACCAATCCGAATCAAAAAGTGTCTGGCAGATATTGTTACTCTGAGAAAAAATAGTAAATATTAATTGTAATTATTTATATAATATTTATGATTTTTCTACAATAAGTAACTTACTAAAAAAATCAAATGTTCTGCCGGCCAAGCAAACATAAATACTTCTCCTAGACAAGCTAGAACCATGAAGGTATATTTGAATCTCAATACGAGAGATTGGTTCTGTTTAAAAAAATTTTATATGCATATTATTCACATTTATATTTTAATGTTAAAATTTTTAAATTTAATTGAAAGTAATTTTCTCTTTTTCTCTCTCTCTCTCTCTTTTGCTTTATGTAAGTAACTGTTAAATATATCTACATAATTATATATAATTTATTTATATTTAATAAATTTTTAATATTATATATATATATATACATATATTTATATTTAATAAATATTTTAATACTACATGTACTTACAAATAAAAACAAAACGCCAATTATTATTAAATTAACTGTGCTACAACATATACATGTTAATGCAAAAGAACGAACAACAATAATAACTTCTGCTGCGTACCTGAATAAACATTTACGTTCTCAGAATTCGCATTACTTAAATCTCTTTAACCAGATCATTCGCGTACAATTAAGGATAAGATTTTATATTTAAATTTAAATGCTACTCACGCAAGTATTTCTTGATGTTTCTTAACACATACGGTCAATTGATGGATATTTGTAAAATTTTTCAGGTCTTCAATCAACATTTCAAATCTTGCCGATGCAAACCAAAGCAAACAAGCCGCGAAAGCATTTAAGCATAGTTGGCCTGATACTATGAATGCGACTATACCTTGGTGTGCGTAGATAATAACTCTTAGGGGTTGATGATATACATCGAATGGATATTCGAATACTATTGGAAATGGTTGATGTAATATTAAAGGTACAATGCAAAATATTCCCGAAAGAACATAGAAAATGACCGAAATCACACCGTAGAATGTAACACATTTGTCAACGTATCGTTGAATCACAACTTCTTCACGAGATTTCATTGAGTTGCAAAAATGTTCCATATTAGAAACAACATTCTGTAAATAATTACATATATTTAAACACACACACACATATATATATATATATGTATATTTACAGTGTGTTTAAATGTTTGGTTATTTTTTTGAATAATAAAGTTACACAAATTAATTTTTTAGATAAAAATTATTTCGTTTAAGATTTATTTAATAACTAAAACAAAAGTTAAAAATATTTTTTAATACTTTTGGGAAGATATTTTGTTTCCTGCTCATACCTAAAAGCAATTCAAGTGACAATATTTAATAAACCACGTATGATTAAAAATCACACTTTGTTGAATTTGTCATAAAATATTTGTCAAAACTATAATAAAATAGACACATTATTTTATAAAAAAAATAAATAAAACTATTATTAAAAGCATTAAAAAAGAAGAATTTAAAATTACTTTTGTTTAAAACAAAAAATTTTTATAACTTTATTTTTGAAATTTAAAAGGATAACTGAATTTGTACTCCAAAACTAAACATACATTACATATTATGTATATAGATATAATTTGAAAAATTTTTTAATGTAAAATATATTTATATTACGTACCTGTATGTGATGATAATTAGTATTGTAAAAGATAAAGTTGAATATGGCATGTACAATAGGAGACTGTTGAAGAATTAAGTCTATGAAAAAGCTAAAATCGTCAATATTATTTACGATGGCATAGATGATCGGTACTTCTAGGCCTATCGCCAGAATAACGCACAAACAGTGATACAGTTTCATACAGACGATCTTAAATCTTGCTGTGTCTTTTGGCATCGGCCAAGTCCACACTATCCATAAACTTAACTTCACGCCAGAAATTACTTTTTTATAGCTTAACTTTGTCGACTTCTGTTCCATGACTGCGTTACATATACATTACGTATATTATACACGTGTAACGCTACGACGAGACTGCATAAGGAATACTGCCCCTCTACGATTCGATATGTGTAACGAATCGGCGAAGGCGTGGGTCGAGAGCGTACGATAAACAAATATAAAGTAAAGAAAGAGGGGAGAAATTTCTGTAAATGTATTATGCATATTCCTTCTAATTCCAGTTTTCATGTAGAAGGGTTGTACGCTAATAAAACTATCATAAGGCACGGCAGGAGAGGCGAATGCATCGTGCGTTTATCAATCAATAGTAATAAGCTGTTTCTGTTTATCGAATAGGAACGCCCTTCCAAACATACAGTACCATCCCTCACATTAGAGACTTCATAGTAATTTCATTGCATATCTCATGTGTAAAGAAAATATGTAAGAAGTATCAATAGATTGAAATGATATGTGGTAGATTTGCGAATACAAATTTTTACTCCACAAACTTCTACTTTCTACTGTAACTTTATGTCATAATTTTTTAAGATACGGAAGTTCTTTCCCTAATGTTCTACAATATACAAATAAGCACAATGCTATAACAGTAGTTACGTGGAAATATTGGAATATTTATCACACGATGAAACATCTTAGAACAGAAGAAATTTTATTGAAAGACTATAAGTATCAAGTATACGATATTGGAGATAGAAGCACAAGAGGCAAGCAAACTTTTATTTTCTAATTTTGATAAACTAAAACAGATATATTTAACGGTAGCTGTTTATTATTATGTAATTTATATTGTTGGAATTAAGCTGTATATATACAGTACGAGTGCTACCATGAGTGATTTAAAAATATGAGATGTTTTATTTCTGAGATTGTGCAGCCATTCAATATAGTGGCTGTGCTTTGAGCTAAACAAAAATTTGCTTCAAATTGTGAAAAGCAACATGATTGTTTTGTGACAAAAATTTGATTGAATATTCTTTCTATTATTCTGTCATTATTATGCGCAATAGTAATACACTTTACATTTTTACATCATAATGCTTTTATTATACAAGGTCTGTTTAAAACGTTTCTGAATTTTGTTTTTATAATTTTTTAGAGCTTATTTACAATTAATTTAACTTTTTCTGTTTAAAAAACTGCTACTTTCCTTCTCGGTACTTTATATATTTTATTGTATTGTGCAGGAAATAGAATTTCTAAAAGAAAATCTAAATAAATGTTAAACTTTTTCACGCAAAAATAGTTTAATAATTTTATAATTTACAATAGTGCAGAGAACGTTTTTTTCGCCATTAAAAGTATGTCGTTTTACTTATATTCCAGAGTCTTCCTCTTCAAACATTATTCGCATTGTAGTGAAGTAAGAGAATATGGTTGACAGATACTGGAACATATGTCATATTACAGATATGTATGTACAATTTTTATGGCAAGTTACTATATTTATATGCAGGGTTATAGGAAGTAACGCATTGCTTTTAACGTCATTAAACGCCGCGTTTTTGTTACTTTTTTTTTTTAGCAACGATCGTTTTATTTTTTATCTATCTGTAACGGTAACAAATTTGCTATTACTTTTATCATTATTTTCTTATTTTATAATATATTTTTAGTTTATTTTTTGAAAAATATTTTATACTTTATATCTCTTAGGCTACATTCCGACAGATTACGTTCACTACCATAATACTGAAAATCTATAATTCACATTAACAGATATTTAGTACAGTAAATATTGGAATACATTTTTAATAATAACATTAATATTTAAATATAATAAATTTAATCTAACTTTCTAAAAATAAGTAATATAAAAAAATCTTGCTGTACATACAAATTTTACTTTAGAGAATTTCAAGTTATAATATTTATTATTACATTTAAATGGTTATCAAAATAATATAAATTTAAAATCTAATTAAAATTATTTTGATATTATAAAAAAGTAACGAAAAACAAATTGTTATTTTTGAAGTAACGCGTAACAGTAATGAGTTACCTTTTAACAAAAAATAACGGTAAAGGAAAAAAGAAAAAATAAAGAGATTTTAAATTATAATTTTAAATAATTAGCGATAACTAGATCTAATGTGCACTATTAACGAATTTGAATAATAATTAAAATAGGTAACTGTCTCTCACCGAGGCATAATAACGTAAAGATAACGAGGGCAAGCCGCATGGTAATACAACAAGTATTGGCTTTTGGCTTCTGAGTATAATCATTTGTAGGTTCTTACGAAGATATTCAGCTTCATCATACCAATCCATTTCGAAAGCTGCTTGTCCTACATTGGTACTCTATGAAAGACATTTACAAATAATAATATATAAATTATGTGTGATTGTAGTAACGCGTTATTTTCTATAAATAAATTGACTTACTACATGTATCAAATGTTCCGCTGGCCATGCATACATAAATACTTCTAATAATGCACTGGTTGCTAAAAAGACACATTGTATTTTCAAGGATAATGATACCTCCTATTTAAACAGATATGGAACGTTATCATTAGATAAAATTTTGATAATATGAATTATTTAATATAAAAATATCAATACACTTATCAAAATAAAGATTTACACAATTTGAAAAATATATATATTTTATCAAATAGCTAGCTTTATATTTTGTTATAAATTTTAATTATACAGTAATATTATGTTTCGTGAATCTTATATTTAAGACATTATTAGAAAAAATATTTATATATGTATATAAAAAACGATATATGTGAAATATATTTCCAAATTTTTTAATTATATGTTTAAACAAATTGGATTATAAAACATGCTGATGCAATATATACGTATGTTTGATTATTAATCATGTCAGCAAAAATTTTTATGTCGACAAAATTTGAAAAGCTGATCACACATAAATCTTTTTCTTATTTTTATCAATTAACTCTATGTACGATTTTGTTTAATGTGCTTTTTATTATTAAGGTTAATAATAATAGTGTAACAATATAATTGCATAGTATGCCAATAACATTAGCTTTGAATTATTTATGCTTTGAAATACTTACTGCAATAAAAATAAGGCCAAATACTATTAATGATACAGTACTGAAAAATACAGTTACCAGTGCAAAAGGACGAACTGTAAGAGCTACCTCTGCTGCATATCTAAAATCGCATTTGAAATATTTTGTCTTATATACATATACAGAGTAATATCTATTTTTGATAGTTAAATAATTTTAATAGTTAAATACATTTAATAAAAATTTAACATTTTTCAGCTAAACGCTTTAGAAAGAAGTCATACTCGAGTAACTGCTGATGCTTCTCGATGCATTTCGCGAAATCATAGATGTTCGTGATCGTTCGTAACTCATCAGTCAACAATTTAAATCTCGCTGATGCTAACCAGAGTAAAAGCGCCATGAAAGCGTTTACGCACAAATGCGCAGCTATGAACAGACCAACCACGATTTGGTGCATGTATGTAATAGCACGTAGCGGTTGATGAGACACGTCGAATGGAAATTCAGCAGGCGCCGGAAGCGGCTCGTCCAGCACGATGGGACCCGCGAAAAGGCCGAACAGACTCATGTAGAATAAACTCATGCAGAAACCGTAGAAATTGGAATACTTATCAACATACTCCCGCTGAACAGTCGCTTCCTCGTGAGACTCCATAAACTCGCAAAAATTTTCCACTTTATGAGTAACGCACTACAACTCATTAGAATATCATTTCGATTGATAATACGTGGATAAAAACGTGTGTTTTATCTCTTAGAAGCAGTATCTGTATTAATTACTTGTAATCGTCGATACATAATTAGGTGACACAGAATGTTGCCCAGAACGTGGCTCGTAGGGAACAAACCCAATGACGATTTTATGAAAAGATCGAGATCATTGATATTCTTCACGGTGGCATATATCATCGACGCTAATACGGTTACAGTCAGTAATATACAGACAATCTGATACAGCCTCATACATAGCACTTTGTGTTTAGAAGCGCTCAGTGGTAGAGGCCAAAACCATATAACAAACAAACTGAACTTTACGACGGCAATCGCCTTTTTTAACGTTATTCTCTCTTTCATGACTACCGTTACGTACAAATATATTACGTGTACTATTGCTGGTTGGGAATCATTTCTCGTGCAATCGACAATTTTACAACTTGTAGTGAATTGTCGGAATTACATTGCTGTGAAGTCTGACTTAAGAAGCTATGTACCGTCTTGAAAATTTTTTCTTTGCACGAAATGCACACTATTTCAATAATATTCTTATGAAATATGCGCTAGGTAAAGGCGCGAAAAAAATCGAAGCCGACATGCTGCATCAGTTATCTTTAGTGTAAAAAAAGTATGCGTGCATAACACATTAAATTGATTTTTTTGCAGTTCTACTGAAAAATATAAAATGTCGATTGAAGAAGTACGAAATAGGTGTGCGATAGAAGGTCCCTCTCCCCGCATATATTCTGTAGACTAGCGTTAAGTGGCAGAAAACGTTAATAATTTATTGGATATGCAGAAACTGAAACGTGAATTGTGGCGTTACGTAGCAGCTGTTTCCGACACCGTTGAAACATTGATAAATTCTCTAACATAAATTGAGACCTCGTAGAAATAAGTGAAAAGTGAAAAAAAATTCTCTTTTATTCGCGCGCACAGTCTAGTCTATAAACTCATACGATACAAATTGTTTCCAAGGAGACAATTTATTCTACTCTTACCTATCAATCTCAATTTTCTTAAGTTAAATTAATAGTTTTCAGACTTGTCATTTTTTCTTAAGTGGATATTTTTATTATTGTATTGTAATTATATAAAAGTATAAATGACAAAAATCTTACGAATGCAGTTGAGTAGAATAATGGCTTTTATAACATTTTGATACATAATTTTGCATTTGTAAAGCAAAGATATTTGTATTTCAGCAAGAATCGCTAATAATATAAATATATATCTACTTATCTACTTATCTAATTATCTACAAGTGAACTATTAGTATAATTATAGATTATTAATAAGAGAAATATTATTATAAATGTAAAAAGTGTCAACATAAACTACGTATTCAAAAAAATTTTTTAAGCTAAATCTAAAATTCTTTTATTAATATTCGTGTTAACCTAGTAATATAATTACATGTGCATAAAAGTTTGGATGTTTAGTAATCAGTGAACTAATCTGATGCATCGACTAGACGATCAGTCTAATCTTAAAACATCATGAGCAACAACACAAGAAAACTTTGTATATCGTAAGAAAGCATAAAACATTCTAAAAGAAACAGTTTACTGATCGGCAATGAGTAAGAAAAAGACATAACTAGACTCAATCCTGTAAAGTGTAAGAATTTTTCGGAAGCATCTTCCTTAACATTTTATTATTAATTTAAAAATCTGACATTTACATATTAATAATAAAATATTTAAAAAGGCAAATATAAGAAAGATGTGGTAGAATATAATACGCAAGAAGATCATGCAACGACGATGTATGATTGCAAATATACGTGCGTGAGAAGAATTTCTGCCACACTTTTGCCATCATGAGGTATGTCTTTATTGGAAGGTGGAATAAACTATACTTCTTATAGGTGACTACTTTTCTCCACCTTTAAATGCTTATTTTCATTTTTTTATTCACGAAGGAAATATCCCTTGAGAAATATGACATGTAAAATAAAATTGAGAAATTGCAAGTCACTAACAAGATATTCAGTAAATAATGTAAAATTATTTTTTATAATTTTTTGTGAATAAGCAATGAATAATTTTTACGAAACGCAAATTATATAAAATCAAATAATAGTACACGTAATATACGCAAAATATTTGTAGAAATAAAGACGCAATTTTTTTTTGCTATTTAAATTATTTTAAAAGGAACAAATGTCGAACAAATTAGCCTACCAATGTCCGTAACAATCTCCGATAGATGCTCGAAAAAGAAAATCCCTTAAGACCTACAATTGATGTCTAAATTGGCACTTTTTGAAGTATATCGGTGGATTTACTTCGAGCATTCCCTTATGAATCTTTTCTATTACTGAATGGACAGACTGTAATACTATTAGGTTGTACTATTTAGAGTAAAAAAAAATTATTTTGTCCAAAAAAATAACTCTAGGTTATTTATTCAAGTAAAGATTAGTCGCATTGATTACAAACGGAATGGAAACAACATTAGAATGTCATCAAGTGAATATTAACAATTTCTTTATATATATTTTCAATATCACAATTGAAACTAATTACACATCAATTATTATTAATTATTAATTAATATTTAAGTTATTAATTCATATTGTGTCCAAAATAATTGAATAAGTGCGCAGGATTATCCCATAATTCCTGATTTTAATGATTTAAATTATATATTATTGCTCTTATTGTCATGAAATAAGATAAAAGTTTCATTAGATACTGTAAAAATGTAAAATCTGGTTTTAATTACATTATTACTCTATATGTACTTAAACTGTTATTAAAAACATACATACATATATTACATTTTATTATAAAAAATATAAATTTTTCTATTTATATACAATGTCCGTCAAAAGTTCCAGGATATCTAAATAACTTCTGAATGATTCGAGATATAGGATTGAAATTTATAGAGATACAATGGGATCATAAAATCATTTAACCTTAAAAATATTCACCTTACACTTCTGGCGGGCGGGAAAAGGGAAATCTTCAATGGCATGTGAGCAAGTAATAGCTCGTTTGAAATGGCTTTTCAAGACGAGTACAATGCGGTGATCGAGATCTCTACGATTTTGTTCCGCAATTTTAAAGAGTTATACTCATTTATAATTTTTCTTATTTTTAATTTTTATTTCTTATACAAAACCTGAAGATAAGATCTTCATAAATAATTATTATATATTGTAAATATACTGTAAAATTTCAACCCAATCGGAAGAGGCCTCCATTTGGAAGTACAGCCTGGAAAGCCGAAAGCAGAGGCTAATTTCACGTGCGTGTATCTTTTTTTCATATTGTTATTTATAACTTTGACTCTTATTTATTGGGAATGAACTATCAAATACTACCAAACGACCACCAATAATCGTTAGTGGAGTTTCAGTAGTGGGGGAACCAACTTTATACAGCTAGCTGAACCATTCAAAAGTTATTTAGGTGTCCTGTTGACGGGTACTGTATAGTGTCTTATACAAATATATAAATATATAAATATTATACCTTAGCATAATATTTAAGAGATAAAGTTGGTAATAAGCTTCCCATGCTGATTACGAGCGGTTTTTGACTTCTTTGTATTATGAAACATATATTTTTAATAATAATACATCGCGATTTTCTACTCCACAATATATTGTACGCCTCCGTTGCAACCCGTTCACTCTGAAATCAACAATATTATTAAAAATTTTTTATTATTTAAATAATAAATAAAATTTATTTAAAACGTGTGTATTAACACAATATCTTTTATATTTTTATAAAAATGTGCTGTATATCACTTAAAAAATGGTCTTGCAAGTACAGTCAAAATTTTTTGCCTGCGAAAAATTAACTAAAGTAGTTAGGTAAATGATTAGCAAATACTGCAATATCACATATATTTAGTATTTAATTAATTTTAATGAAGGAATTTATATCTAAGCTGTTTGTGAAATTCAGTAAGATTTTCTGTGGCACCTATTTATATTAAGGCTAATCATACTTGTTTGTAAAGTTTGACTATGACACACAGAAAAAACGACGAGAAACAAATGAATATATTTTCTAGAGGGTGTTGCTGCTATAAATTCTATATATGACAAACGATATTTTAACACATACAAAAAAATAGCCATACATTTTTGTCTTGACACTTAGAAATCTACTTACATCAGCAAAACATTTTTTGGGGGTGATACATGATTTATTATAGATTTAATAAGAAATATGAAAAATAAGCCTGTTTTTATATATTATTAATTACATTTTCCATTAAATCGTCAGCTGGGCAAGCAGTAATGTATAATCTTTGACATCCAGCTATCACTATAAAAATAAATTGAAACGATCTTTCCAATGATTCCTATATAAATAATAAAATTGTTAATTTAGATGAATTTAAATTTAATAAATATCATTAAACAAAAGTGTTAAAATGCCAGTAAAATGTAACATACATGAATAATTGGAAAAATACTGCAAATACTACATATTGCCATCGTAATATTTGTTTTAAAAAGAATAAATTGTACAACATCCCTGGTATCATCAACAAATCTAATTACAAAATAATGATTTTATTATTCGCATTTATTATTGATGTATTATACTATATAATAAATTTATAATATTATTTTTGTAATATTTTTAGAAAATGTCCAAAAATTTAAAATTTCTCTGACTTTTAATCTTTTGACTACTCACTTGATTATTTCCTGATGTTTCTTGATACACGAGTTTATGTGTCCTTCATTCCTTACAGTTTGTATTTCTAAACATAACATCTCTAATTTGGCAGCTGAATACAAGAAGAATATTGCAAATAGCAAATCTACACCAATACAAAATCCACATTGCACTATAAAGTAGATTTGCGTGATATAAATAATAAATATTACAAACGGCGATTCAGTAAGAAATGGATACGTTCCTTCAATAGGAAATTTCGTTGAACCAAATGCCGGGATGCAACACATGATGATTATTGTTAAGAAATAGTATGGCATAACAGATATAAACAAAAAGATGTGACGATCTATGTATTTTTGCAGAACGATCTTTTCATGGACGTTGGAAGCAAGAAGAAAATTCTTCATCTCCTTCAGCATACGCTAATTTTAAAATTAATAACTCTTAGTAATAAGCTCTAAGAAATATTTTTAACGTTACAAAAAATATATTTACGTTAAATAATATTTGATTCGAAATATAATTAAGTATTTGTCTGAGGAAAAATAATCATGTATTCAAATTTATCATTTGAATGATAAACTTTCTTTGATTTTTTTATATTAATATATTACTATAAAATAAAATTATTATTATTATTATTATTATTCTGATGACATTGTGATGAGAATACTATTTTAATAGAAATGTATAGAACCGGTATAATATACTCACTTGCATGCGTGCGCTTTTTATTTTGCATATGAAGATATTGCATAACATATCCGTCCCAGCGGCGAACAGCGGCAAAATCTTCATTAGCATCATTATATCATGTCGATATTTATAAATAGTGCACAATAATATCATTTGTATAACAATCGCGTTCAAGATGCTAAAAATATAAATAATCCTTCGAAAAACAAATATGAGTTTGCCGACATCGGTGTCATGCGGCCACATGCACGTTATACTATTACATATTTGTAAAAAACGGAATACTTGATAAAATTTCGGATATAACTGTTTCATTGTCGGAGAAATTCAAACCGCTTGCGAGGTTCAAGAAACATATTGACGATCTCTGACGAACAGAAAACTACTAACAAAGTTGGAAACGGAGGTAGTTAAAATTAATGAAGCAGATCAATAATTCGTTTATTAAAAATTATGACTGTCCTGAGAATATTTAATTGCCGAGCACTTCACTAATAAGTTTTATTCCAATAAAAAAAAAAGCTGGATTACTTATTTAAGTGAGGATTAAATTAGAAATGCATTGATTACAAAAGGCATGAAACAACATTATACAGAATTTCAATGAATATTTCAACTTGAAATTAGAGATATTCTTCAGTTGGAGGAAATTAGAGATATTCTTCAATTGGAGGTAATTCTGGGTAAAAGCATTCTAACATGTCCACAAATAATTTCTTTAAAAATTTATTATTAGAAGATATAAAATGTTTTTTTTGCATACACGTCTATTAACTAAATATTTAGATTCAAAAATAAATAAATCAAATTTAATGTATAATGACTTATCTATCTTTTATTTAATAATATAATTCATGTTATTTTTGTAGACACAAATGCGGATTAAAACGGAACTTCGTTGCATTTATTATCTTCTACAGTTATGATAACCGATGGTAATACTTTTGTAACAAAGTTATCATCAGGTAATATGTCCGATTGAGTACAGTCAGGTAGAATACTGCACAATTTTTTAATGCTATAAGTATTATAATAATAATGACGTGTATATGCGATATGTCTATTATAAAATATTATTAAAAATTTACTAATTCACATTATTTTATATAAATTGTTTTATATTGTTTTACTAACAACGGATAACATTACAATTGTCGATAGTAAACTCTTTCTTCTTTGCTGACTTGTACCGTCAGACGATAGAGACTGACAAATCAATAAATGCGGGGGTAGCAAAAATGTTCCTATATACCCCTTGTTCATTTATTTTACATTAATTTAATGTTTAATATTTATTACTGTAATAATTTAATATATAAACTTCCGTAACTTCTGATTCTCCAGCTAATTCACAATTCACACAACTCATGTCGACAAAAGTTTCGAAAACATCTTCTCGAGTTTGCAACTCGGTGGCGTTTAGCCACTCAGCGGTTCGCACTAATGCAAGCACAAATCTTAACGCGACGCACCATCTTCTCCCTCGGCAACAAAGTACTCCCAGCGCTTCCGCAACTTCGGCTTATACGAGTTCCGTTAATTAGTGCGTCGCGCCGCTATACCGAGTATTATTCCGTTGTGATTTCATTTCGGGGTGCACTGTTGTCGCGCCCGAAGTTATAACGCGAGCGTAATGGATTCTCCGAGTGCAAAGAGTGCCCTCGCGAAATCCTCGAATAAGCTCTTTCGCAGAAACGTAAAACCCGGCTGCTTAAAGAAGCGTTTCGAATTTGCAATGCACTCTGAGAAGTAGCGCATTCGCGCTTGGTGCACCCCAGCATTTCTGATCATAACCCGCGAAAGTTTGAGACCGTATTAAACTTTATATCGCTATCCACCGAGGAAAGAGCTTTATGTATGGCTTTATATTGTGTCTCGCGTCCACGTTGTGGCACGAATTTACGAGTGACATTTCGTTATACTCAGGGTGCGCTAAATCTTTTTTTCTTAGTTCGGCGAATCTTATTTTATCATTTCTTATGGGGCATTTTGTTTTAGTGCATATCATAAAATAAATTATAACTTTTTATAATTTTATTAATATATATATATATATTACTAGTTACATAAAGTAAATATTATTAAATAATACAATTAAATTATGGTTATTACATAGACATTAAATTATGAATATATTATGCAGATATTATTTACTGAAAATTTAAGACACTGCACATACACAAGAATAATTTAGAATGTAATAATTAATGTAAAATATTAGAAAAATTTAAAAAACTAGAACTGCTGCAATTTGAATTACTTTTCAATTTAAAAAAAAAAAAGAATTTTAACTAAAAATTTCTAATATACCAAGCTATATCTAGACTACGGTTATTTCATAAACGCATAGACTATGTTACTGTTGTAATTGAAACTTTTATTTGGCTTCTGATTCAAAATCAATTTCAGTGAATATTTGAAACGCGCCTATTTCGGCGTTCTCTGATACGTTGAGAAACTTTATCACTGATTGTATTTTGATTGATACGACGCGGCGGTTTGTTCAATTGCTTTTGCGCGCACGACTGGCGTAATAACATAAATCTTGCTTCTAGTTTGTTATTTACGTAGAATAGAGTTTGTAAAACAATTATGTAAATAATTTTAATTGTCTTGAGTGTATGTAATTTTTATTACGAAAGACAATTTAGTATGCATTCGTGAAGCTTGCATGGATTGCGATAGAATAAGAATGTGTCTAAAGACTAAATTATTACATTTAACGATATATAAAATATAATGATTTTTAATTATTGATTGTAAATTAGTATTGAATATTGAGAAATTACATGATTTATGCGGAAAAAAAAGAATAATTGTAAGCAAGATTGATTACTTATAAGATAGATTACTTTGCGTAAAGAATTTTAGACTTATTTCTATAATAATCGTCAGAAATAAGATTACACTTCTCTTCAAATTAATTGTCAGATATAAAAAAAGAGGAAAATTGCTCTTATATTTTTAAATATTTTTATATAAACTAAACTTTATTATCAATTTAAATTATATACTTTTTCTTGTTAAAAATTTATTTACATAAAATTTTAACAATTAAAAAGAACTTCAAAATTATTTTTTGATCTCTTACAACTATAGATAATGACTTGTCTCTCATAAAATACGTATTTAAATACGTTAACAATAAATATGCTACACATTATAGATATACGTAGTTAACAGACTGGTAACACATGTCGCTCACATACTAAAAATAAATAGAATACAATGAACGTGAGTTACATTTACAAAAAAAGCACAGTCATATTTCATATTTGATCGAATCAGGGTTTAACGCGCGACAGCCTGCTAGCAGGGTCTCGTTAACAGCGAGTTACAAAACTAGATTGACGAATTAATTATCGAATACATATTAGCCCGTGCCAACGCACCGCTGTTGATTCACGTGGGTTTATTGAGTGCACATTTACGGATTAAGGGCAGCATATGGCAAGTTCTCTGATAAAAGTTCGGATATATATGTATATTTTTAAATCTTAATTTGATCGAATATTTGTACCTATTTAATAATACAATTTTCAAACCGTAATTTTGGTCTATAACATAATCGATGATATTTCAATTGTTGTGGTTAGCCTTTATCCAGCAGTCTCTATCTCTATCTTATGAAAGTACCTGCTATAAAAACAAAAAGCAATGGATGTTATAAATATTTATTTGTATTTGTTTAAAAACGTTATAAATGTATTAAAATGTCACGTGTGTATTTATTATAGGCTAGCCAAAATGAAGAGATTCAAAGAATATCAATACATTCATTAATGCTGCAAATTAATACTAATGCACGTTGATATACAATTTTATATTTTATTGTATAATTGAAATTTTTTTAAAATTAATAAATACCATAGAATAATGCATTTTTAAAAGATCGAAATCATTGAAAATAACAATTTTGTAATAATGTCTATTTATAGTTATGCATATAAAAAATACTTTCACGAGTTAAGATTCAAATGACACAGCCAACGTTGTCCGTAGGTTACTAATGCTCATGTAAATAAGTAGCTTCTTAGTGTGCTCGAGTTTCTTGGTGCATAAACATCGTTTCGCGGCAAGAAGAGGGTGCTAAGTGCATAGCAAAACTCTTTATACGCGGTCGCAGCACGTGCACGCATATTAATTGTTCACAAGAGGCATTACTACGTGCATAATATTAATAAATGAAAATATCTTTCTCCAATTATGTTTACGTTTAAATAAAGAAAATGTAATTATAATGTCGTAATATGTAGTATTTTATAAAATATATAATCTATATCGACTGATATTTAACAAGAAAATGTATCTTACATTTTATTGAGACATTGAAAGAACTAAAAAAGTCTTAATTTTTACTCCTTAAATAATATTTTAATAACAAATCTATTATAAAATTGATCATTATAAAATAATTATAATAAAATTAGTATTTTATTGTCTCTGGATTTAAGAAATTGTATGATATTATTTTATAAAATTAAATCGAGGCTACACGCAAAGAATAATTTTGCTGAATCCAGATTTGAAAATAATTTTTGTTCAATAATCAAAATAATTTTGTGAGAAAGTCAAAATAATTGCTAGAATATCAAAACGTTTTATAGCAATATTTATCATTTTTAACATTCCAATAAAATTTTTTTGTGATTTAACAAGAATTAATTTTCAGATTTATATTCAGCAAAATTTTTAGACCTTTCAACAAAATCGTTTTTTTCCGTGTATGAATTATCTACTTATCAACGTTAAGCAATTAATTATTTCATAGCATTATCACAAATTAAACTATTTAATTAAACAAATTGAATTATCAGTAACTTGTATACACATTATATCTCATACAATGTGTGTGTTTGGTGTATTTTTAAATAAAATTGAGATAAATCAATAGAATATGTAATTTGCTTTAAATACTATATGATTTAGAATTATGCATATATAAAATCTTTCATGCAAAATTAATTTTGCGGGATAGATATTTTTATGATATAAAATTATTAAAATTAATGTAAAATTGATATTTACTAATACATCACCGTGGGGATTAGAACAATTAGAACGAAGAACATAGTGCAAACCATGGAAGTTGATACGATTACCCAATCGTCCAATGGACTTTTCTCCTATAATAAAGAAATATGATATATAACATAAAATATAATATACTATATAATAAATAAATATAAAAAGAAAAATATTAAAAATAACAAAACAAATAAATCTGCATACGCGAATGTTTTAATTTTTGCTAAGCACATCAAAATTGTCTCCAAATTTCTCGAATAATCTCTTATAAAAATGGAAGTTGCTAGTTGTAAAACATTATATAAAATATTTATAAAACATAATTAGTATGATATTTATGAAAAAAATGTTTGATTGATACTAAAACAAGTTTGATATTATAATAATGTGAGTAAATATAGAACTTATTTAATTTTTCCCCTATAAGACAAGAGGTTTCAGAGCGAGAGAAATTTCTGCTCATCGGAGCTATAAATAAAAATAACTCGCGTGTATTTCGTGCAGCTGATTAGCTCGCCGCTTTACTCGATGCCGTATCGATTCTGCGCAAACCAGCGCAACTGATTAGAATTCCCAACGCGCGTTTCGCAAGAAGGCGTTAATCCCTTAAGTAGTGATAACACAACGGAACTTTATAATCCAGTTTTGGACGCGTATTCTCTCAAGCGCGACTCCCCCTCTATACCCTCCCTTTGTTTTCTTTCCACGTTTTCGTCATGAAAATACGGTTACATCATGAGGCTTATACATTGTTTTGCTCAACTGAAAATAGGAAAATCGTCAAGATATACAAAATTCTTGTTATGATAAATGGGGACATACAACATTAAACGTGATAATAGAATTTATTGTAACATTATTGTAGAAAATTTACTATAAAACTTCTGTTTTCTTAGTCGTTTAGTATTCCGAAAGAACGGCGATTTAATTAAAGGATAAAAATTCTTCTACCCAGTGTTTAAATGGTCGCTTGTCCCGCAAGCTCTTCAAGTTATAGAGAAAAGCGGGCGGGAAGGATGAGAGGCTACCTCGTGAGTATTACAAACGAGATGAAAGATGAGAGTACGAAGTACCTATTACGTTGGTTACTCGACTCTCGGGATGTAACCGCGATACCGTAATCGAGGATCAAAGATTTACGCTAAGAAATTAAATGCATTTTTCGTCGAGTTACTCGCAGAACGGTTAGCTCATCTCAAAGCGAAAATGCTTTAGGTCTAATTTTCCCGCGATCGCTTTGCATTCCTCCTCTGCAGATTGATATTTTGATTTGCTTAATTACGAAATTCTAACGTAACTTACATACCTACGTTTTAATAACTACGATGTATACTAATTATGATATTAATCTTGATTTAGAAATGAAGAAAGATAACAATTCAACTTTGAAACTCGTTTAATGTAATTAATGTTGTATATTTTACTATTCTACAATAATTACAGTCTTTTTACTTTTGCAGTACCTTTTTATTTAATACCGTTTTTTACCGCTTTTAATTGTAAAATTTCGGTATTATCTTTTAAAGATAAAACGTGTCACTTTTACCAATGCGCGTTCGAAATGTGTTTTTCGCACAGCCTATTATATTTTGTCAAGATATGACAGGTATTATCGCTCGCAGTTCAATAAACATTGATATATTTCAGATTACGTGCGCGGCGTTATCGGAATATAACCGGCTGTTCCTCTCCCTTTTTCAGAAAATGCACGATTAACAAGAAATTACAATGTTTATTTTATGAAACAGTTATTATCGTTGACAGATAATCACTACAGTAGAAAATCGACAGCACGGATGAAGTGATTGACAACTATAATTGAATCATGCAAGTATTTGTATAAATAAAAAAGATTCTTAATTAACGTTTTATATTATTTTTTATTATACGCGTATAAATGTATTGCATAAATTATAAAAGATGTATTATAAAATAATTTTGTTTTTCTGTTAATCAGCAAAGTTGTTCTTTCTAATATATATACAATACATTAAAGATATTTATACAATATATAAAGGATAAATTGTACAAATATCTTTATTTTTATTATTAATAAATAATCTTAAATCTTGAAAGCACATAGTAAAATTAATATTTTGTCTTTATAGAGTTAAGTATGTCAAATCCTTAGGATTTATATCAACGTACGATGTATTACACATTTAGCGCGAAGAAGCCAAACTTAAACACCCGCAATTGTTTTATTCATTTTCGTCTAATTTACGCGACTATTTAGTATACGTAATTGCCGGCGTTCGTGATTTGCAGCTTGTCTGGCTGACCGAGGTAGTAGATCGGGGGCTGTCCGTGTCAGACGGGAAATTGAGCGGCGCGGGCGACTTGTCTTTCGATCCTCATTAAAACTTTCGCCGACAGCGTCGCTTTTCCGAGGAACGGCTTATTGTTTAACTTGGCTCGTTATCATTATTTGACCTGAAAATGCAGTATCGGCCACGGGTGAACGGGTTAATCGCGCGACAAACGCGCGCACTTTACTGCGCCGACTTAGCGCCACGCTGCCGTTGAACCTTACGACCCGCATCGGCTCGTAAAAGAGAATACTTATGCAGCCGACGAAAATGTGTGTGTGTGTGAACTTTCATTTTGATCACGCTTGAGAGCCAAAAGCCTAGGCGAAATAACTGAAAGCTCCAATTTCAACTCCGTTGGAAATGCTAATCTCTTTTAATATCGTTCAGTGATTATTTAGCCAATTATGAATTCATATCCCTTTATGAATTCAACTAAGCGCAATTCCAGTAGAGTCTTAAATTTTCTAAATTAAGGTTTCCAACAGTGCAATCTTTTTCTTTCCTAATTAAAACGCATTTAAAAAAACGCAATTAATTAGGTATAATATAAATATGTGGAGTATACGAAATTATTTAATTTTCTTGCAACACAATAAATTAAAAGAAATTGTGACATTATTTCGTAAATAATTCATTATATATATAACATAATATATTACGACATAGAAAAGATATACATCTGTATATAATGTAATACAAATTATTTCATACTAAATTTGAGGAACAAATTAATTAAAACGAATATCTAACATTTTTCATAAAATCAGATACAGTTTATTACGTATTGTTAGAAATATTACAATTTATTAAGCAAAAATGCCACGTCATGAGTATTACATAATTCGTGAGATTTGATGGAATAATTATGACGAGCGACAATGAGTTTTATAACGTAGAATATTTGAACACGACATACCTGGGTTTCTTCTTTGTCGGTTTGTGCATAGCTGCAGCAAAAAAGGGCGCAGGTGAGCAGTAGTATCAGCAACAGATTCCGCGGAAACATTTTCGTTGTCGATGTTGCAATTGACGGACGGGTATGACGTGTTTTTACCTGCGTCGTAGCATTATCTGCTCTAACCGGCTTGTGGCGACGATAACGCATGCGATTGACGGATTGTCATTGTTCGTCGGCCTTTATCGCCTGTACTGCAATTCCGTAAGCTTATCTTATCGGCCGCTTATTGAATGTGTAACGACTACTGCGCTTTAAGTGTCAGTGCGAGTAATTTTCAAAAATTGGAAATTGATACTCTCAACTCTTTTTTAAAAAATTTTAATTTATGATATTCTAATAAGTACTTATTATTTATTTCACATTAACAAAAAGTTGATAATAATTATACAAATAATATTAATAATAATAAGAAAAAGAATATTAAAATACATATTAATTTGTAACCAGTGATAAAAGATGTGAGATATTTAATGATATCGATATGTAACAATAAATTATCAAATTATTAATTTTGTTATCAAATGAAACACACACACACACACACACACACACACACACACACACACACACACATGCACCAATTAAACTCGTATTTGATTTACAATTATTAGTGTACTTCTTGTTCTTCGATATATATTTTCTCGCTTTATCCAATTTTGCAAAATAAAGAGCAATTGTTTTCTATTACTATATTAAATTTATATGCATAAAGGTGCAAATTCATAATACGCTCGTTTTAGTGTTAAAGCTATTGCGCACAGAAAAATTTAAGCAGTAAGTCGTAAGCAGTAAAGAAATCAACATGTTGGATTTTTGGTAATCACGTGACTTCGACTTTGACGTTAGCATCAAAAAAAGAAGCTGAATTTTCTCAGCTTCAGCGTCAAAGGCTGTTGTTGTTTTGTTCTGAACATTTTCGATACGAATGATATGATTGACGTTAAACTTGATATTGCCGCTTTTCGTGCAAGCCAACTATGATCACGTAATTTTGACGTCAAAAATGAGCGTCGGGCGTCAGCATGAAAAGGCACCTTAACAATTAGAATTAATTCTTAATTAATTAATGCTATAAGATTTGCATTGATAGTAAGAATTTATATAATTTTCCGTGTTTATACTTCGTGTATACTACATCTGCTATATATAAAATAGACTTTCTCTTTTCTTTAAAAAATCAACCTTTTCAGAGACGATGTTGAAATCTTCGATTACCGATAGAGATAGGAAATCGGGAAAACTTCACCAAAATCCTTAAACCGGCGTTCCAAATTTCCGGAATGTTGCAGGCGTGGAAGTTGCGGATTCAGTGGAAGAAAAATTACGTACACGGCTCTTGCATCAGGCAATAATAAGGGTGATGCGCTCTGATTCTCTAAAGAAAAAAAAAGATTTTCTCCCAATCCACGCTGATCCTGTGAAAAATAGATAGTTTTTTACAGGATTATTTGCTTGTATATTATGGTATTATTGTGCAGACAAATAGAAAGATATATATACGTAACTGTAATAAATAATTCGAAATTAATATGAAATCTTATATAAGCATATTGAAAATCTCCAGAATCATTGATATGGTAAATGAAGATTCTTAAAAAAGATTCTTAAAAAAAAAAAAAAAAAAAAATTCTCTCAATCCGCGCTGATCCTATGAAAAGTAAATATTTTTCACAGAATTATTTGTCATACTATATACTATTATTGTACAGATATATATGTAACTGTAATAAATATCAAAATTAATGTAAAATCTTGAGCAAACATATTGAAAATCTCCATTATCATCAGTACGATAAATGAAGATGAAGATGAAAATTACAATTTTTTTATCTCATAATAATTGTTTTCAAAAACAATTATTTGTCGTAAAAAATTTCATTTTTAAATATTTATATCTTTATTATTATAAAAGATATTTTAAATTTATCGCATCTATTAATATTTGTTTATGATTTTTTTGATAAATATTTTGAATCGATTTTTCTTTCATAAAAATATTAACGGCATATTCAGAATACATGCGCATATATGTGCATGTATTCTGATATAAATTATTTTATGTATACGTGCATGTGCTTCCTAAACGTTTATCTCTTTTATTGCTCTGTCCCTCTTTCTCAATATAATTTTATTTATACGGGTACCTCGATTATATATCGCAAACCTTTTCGCGCAAGCTCTTAATTTAATTTAATTTAATTTAGCAAAACAGCTTTAATTGATGCTCGTTCAAGCCACGATTATCCATTGAATATCGATTATATCGACGTAGCGCAAGCCTCCCTTTAGCTTTTGTAATCAATGCGGCGTTATACTGCATGTCCCGCATCCTCGATGTACTGCTAAGGGCCGATGGTACTGACGTGGTTTAACGCTAACCCAGTTCAACTAAATTTTCTTTCCCTGTCGATGTTATAGAAAGCACTATAATCCAGAAAGGGACAACGAGTCGCTAACTCAGAGTTAGATAACCCATACCGGCGGCGTAACCACGCTTAACAGTGTCTTTTAAGGTATTATGCGCAGTTGATCGTATTAAGGGATGTTATGTGAAGCACAGTGTCCACTTACGGTTCATAAAGTGATTTTAACGCAAAATGGTTCTGTATTCCATGACCCTGTTAGAGAAAACAGTTGAACATATAATAATAATTATTATTAAATAAAATCGTAATTTTATGGGAGAAATTTAATCCTAATTTTAATAAATTATTTCTCACATCCGTTTTTGCAATTATATATTGCGTAGATATTAAATGGCAGGATATATACGAATTTAAAAGTTAATTATGAAGTTATAATATACTACAATTAAGATGTAACTAATGAAAATATAGTAATAATGACGTTTCACTTTTCTGCTTGTAAAAAAATATGTTTCTAACTGCATATTATAGCGGAAAATAAACACTGCGAATATTTTTGCTAATTTGTTAATGGAAAGATAAAATCTGATCCACTTACGTTTTTATAAATTTTTTAAAAATTATTTAGCTCTAGATTTTTTTCCGAAAAATATTGCCATGTATTCATGAATCACTTCCTTACATCAACGTATATAAATATCTTTTATATTTTCTCTGTATTTTCTAACTAAAGCCAAAGTTTAATAATAACTTTTATGTAGCAAATTGTTTTTACATGACTACACAAAAAAATGTAATAGGGATTCAAGCGCAAACAGGATCGAGGAATCGTACGTGTTCGTAAGTAAGTGATTGGCCCGCGGGAAAAGGGAGGAGAAGCACGAGGAACTATTTCCCTATAGATCGCATACCCGAAAGGCATTTGCGCAGGTAAAAATTAAATTAAGACGCACACGGAGATCCGAGTGCTGGAATTCTTTCCCGTTCTTCTTTCCCTTTTCTGCTCCTTTCTCCTCTCCTCTCGCGATAACGTCAGAAAATATTGTTATTCCGTGAAACGGATCGCGCCGAACCAGTGAAAAATATTGTAGCGGACTCGTAAAAAGTACCACCTCGCAGACTTGCCCGCGGCGATAAAACTTTGAGTATATTCTCCAAGGAAATTTGTACTAACTACTAAACATATATCATTAACTTACCTCCGATTAATGAGACTTTGCAGACGTTTGATTTTTATATACTATACCTGCACGATCAATATTTCTCGAGGAGGTATGTATTAAAGCTAATATCGCGTTTTCCTCAGGTTCTTATCCACTTTTTAAATTCTATTGCAAGCGAGCAAAGTTATATATTTATCTTTCGTACAATATTATCTTTCGAACTAAAATCATGCTTTTCCTGAAGTAAAAATATACACGTTTGTCCTGTTCTTTTATCTTATTTTGGAAAATTTAGAAGAGAGCGAAGCTTCGCTGGAAAGAAAATATAGAAATTATTCTTGCCGTTCCTTTGCTTTCTGAGTGCAATTTCTCCGTGCTTTTCTGACAAAAGTACGTGTACGTTAAGCCAGAATGAGAAATACATCCGTGGAAAAATTCGTTGATCATTTCATTTAGCAGCAAGTTCGATGCGGTAACGAAATGACGGCTCGTATAACGATGTAAATTGGTATAGCGTGCGAAACAAGAAGGCGAATTCCCCAGTGTCGGAGTGCCGACATTCGTCGCGCGCATCGAATTCCCGTGTTGCCTTTTGAACACATCTCTATAACATTAGAACGAATAAAAAAATGATGAAAATAGACATGATAGGTAAATAGGTATGCAGACATCTGAATTCTTGCCTCTCTCGGCCTTTCAAATAATCGTTCCTTTCATTTTTTTTCTCTTTTCTTTTTTTTTGTCATTTTTCTACAGCGCGATCGTTGGACGACGCCAGTGTTATGGTTTCTCGATTGTTAAAAAACGTTGCGTGTCCCGGATATGGATGCGATATGCCTATGAGATTTTTATTGTGCTCAATATCGCAACAACCAAATCGACTATTGTGATAGAGTTAAACACGAATCGCGTGGAGGCTCGATTTGAAACGTTTTGCAAAGAAAAACTCATGCCTATATGTATATACATACAATATTACTGTACAGAGTATAACTTAAATCAAAATAATCATTTAGAGCAAAATAATTATATTTATAATGAATTTTTGGAGCGCGGATAGCATTACTTAGCAAAATAGATATATATAAATAAATAAATTTTGATTTTTATTGTACAATAAATTATTATCCGTTAATAGATATATAATTTGGGGCTTTTAATTAACTCAATTTTAATGATGAAAAAATAATTTACTTCACATTACGTTAATAAACTGATTAGTCCGTCTTAAACGTGGTTAGTAATATTACGATTCTATTGTATCAGTCACATTTCAACTGCAACCGCGTGTAATCAATGCGGCAAATTTCTCGAATAATTCGCTAATATTTCGAATAATTCGTGTCGGCCGACGCGAATGCGAAATCAATAATTGCTTTAATCGCGGCGGCGAACGGAATGCAATACTCCGCCGCTCGCCCGTATTCCGGATGGAAGAGCATTTTTAAAGGGAAACAAGCACTATCGGGATCTAACTCAAATGAACGGATTTGCAAGTTTAAATAGCCTCCAGGACAGTTTAAAGCGCTTTAGGAATTAAAATCTGTCCGTAAAGTGGCTTTAAAATTCTAAGTCCGTATTTTCGAAGCTGTTCAGATCTCACTTAATGTAACGCGTTTTATATTGTCCAAGTAAACTTCGCTTTTG